TATATATATATTCAGTCAGACTGAACTGGAAATACCATCCATTTACCACAGTAAACTACTTCTAGAGAAGTTTTCTTCTCTTGGTATCTCTACTCAAAACACTAATCAGTTTAACTTACGTGAACGGGGAGATCATGAAAATGACACAACATGTCAGGCTGTAAGTGCAGCTTTTTTAAAAATTAACTGGATGTAGAACAGTTGTGGTCTCAGATTCATTTCACTGGATATAGAGAAGAATCTGGATTCTGACCTGTCTTTTGGCAGTGGCATGTGAACCTGCATGACTTGTAAGAAATCAGTTTTTTCATGGACTTTCCAGGAAGGTCAGAAGAATTTCTTGTAAACGCTGCACTACATTTTAAATTAATATTATATACTAAATAGTCTCAGAAACACCAAATGAGAGGTCTTGTTGCCAAACATAACATTTCCTCACAGTCTTGAAATAATGTGAGAAAATATGAATAGTGGGGGCTATGCAATCTCTAAATGTCTGAAAAGAATAAATGATAATGTGACTTTCAGTTAAAAAAAAAGAACATGAGAAGATACAGTAACTGATGAACTTAAAAAAAAATTGACACAAAATAAGCTATATTTTTTAAAGACAGATATCTAAAAGAAGACTTATCTAGCATTACAGTACATTTCCCTCTCCATTACAGAAGGAATCTAAAATCCAGAATTATTTACCTGCAAAATCCAAAGCAGAGCAAAAATTTATAGAGGCAGAAGTCATGCCAGATCATCACAATGACCTACCAGTCCTCACTGCCCGTGGCCATCTCATTAACATTATAGCAGGCCACAAAGTTTGTAGCCGCTACAGATGTATGCACACATAGACACACACATACTGGGATGGCTATATAGATACTAAAATAAAATAAACACATGAAGCTGTCCTTCACTTCTGCAGTCATCTCTGGATGTTATTTGATTCTGGGTATTATTTTTCTTTTAAAGTAAATTTATTTCTGAGGTTAGGAAGCCAAAGTCATGGTTTTCAGTTATATCAACGTGGTACCGTAACTTCACTTCAAAATAAGATAATAAAATTCTGTTTCTCACTTAGAACACAATATAGAAATATTCAAAGTTTCCATTACAAATATTCAAATTATCAAAGCTCCTTTGTTGTCTACCAACCTCCCTTTGATCCTTCCTGGAGAGCTTGGATTTGAACTGCTGCTGGCATTGCTTACAGTTTCCATTCGTGAAGATTTGGATTGAGACTGCTTGCCTGCTGACGAAAGAGGCTTATTAACTGCTCCAAGAACATTGGCTGCTTTGGGCTGAAACCAAAAATATATTTCCTTTATTTTAAGCTACACATTTAGATATTGTTAACATGTACTATGCTTAAAATATTCACAGATTTCACTTTCTGCAATCAGTATCTTAACATGAAGCGATGAACATTTTTCATATGGAAGTTTTAACAGGCACCAGAAAGGAAGCTGACGAAGCTGCAATGAGGACAGCTAGCTGCCACCAAAAATGGTGCTCTTCTCTCCACCCTTACAGTCTGTCCTCTTCGATCGTACTGGGTCCTCCCCTGACCTTTCACTAAGCCACTTCAGCACTTTTTGTGCAGCTTGCTTTCCGCTGCTCTAGCTGCCTGAACCAGCTCACCATTTGGGTGAGATAAGCATCTGGACCAGCAAAACAGCAGCAGCAGGAGGACAGACCCCTCAGCCCGGCAGCCGTTAAACTGCCTTAGCTATAATGGCAAACCGCACCAGTTTCAACTGGGAATGAGTGAGAATCTCGAAAATCAAATACTGTGGAGAAGATTCGAAGGTTCATACACAGTTTTAAACATTTTTGGCTTTTAATAGGTGCAAAAGTTTCCAGAAACTGGTGAGCTTCAGATTCTTTATTTAAGCAGATTATCTTTCAGATCTGCCAGATACCTCCAGCTCGTACTAGCGTGAGAGTCAAAAGAGTTCAGTTACTCCTAAAGAGAATATACCTTCATGCCAAAAATCCACGTTGAATTAAAGACCATTTCTTACACTTCTCATTATCTAGGATGATATTCTATTTCAGTATTAGATTCTAGCTATACGTAAAGTTAGTGACAGCTAAAAAACCAATTCAGCATGCATATCATAGCAGCTCTCAGTGTTCCTTTTTCAGAGATAAGCACCATGGATGAGCTGGTTATACTTTCATAGCCAGAGGGAATCTTACACTTACACCAAAGATACACTCTGCATTGAGTACAAGAACAAGAACATATTCTTTCCAAAAATAAACCTTGGAGAACAAAATCCAGTTTAAAAATTTACATTGATTAGTTTAGAACTTAATGTTAATCCATAAGTGAACACAAAGAGAACTCAAAAGCAGAGAGAGATGTTCAAATTCACACTGGTCTGGACTTCCTACTAAGGAGGAACTAACATAAACAGGGCCTGACCTAACAGCTCCTCCCTCACCGCAGAACCGGCAACTCCAGGCCTTGCTGCCTTCAGACACCCCACCAACATCCACTCAAGCTTGTTGTCCATTCCCAAAAATAAGATCCCCTAGAGCAACTCTCATTTCACATTGCTCACATAACAGTGAAGCAACTGAAAAGTTCTGGTGGTCCCATACGCCTCTGCTCTTAGTTACAAAATTTCAAAACAGTGGACCAGGAGCTAGAGTACGCAGCACTAGAAATTTAGAATACTATAAAAGCTACCTTAGGATTCAAAAGCATTTCAGTTCGGATACGTGTGAGATACAGAGCTACGGGGGAGTGCAGCAAAAGGCCACTAAGATGAGTAAGGGACTGGGGCGTTTCTCATCGGGAAAGTCAGAGAGAAGGAGCTTTGGACCAGATGATCTCCAGAGGTCCCTTCCAACCTCAGAAGTTCTGTGATTTTTCATGATAGCAAAAATTATGTTTCTTGTTTAATATTTTGACAATACATTTAGTATATTAAGTTTGGGGCAAAATAACAAGAATGTTTTATGTCACAAACCGGGTAAGAACACTCAGTACTGAATACTGATCAGAAATTGGAAGACACACAACTTCCTTTCAGAAACTTTTGCATTCTCAATAAGAAGTGAATCTGTACTTTATGAAATTCAAATACTCAATTGCGCAATACAGTGGTGATATCTTTCAATCAATAATGTTGACTTTCAACTTCTAATGAGAACGATGCATCTGCATTTTTTCTAACTTTCATTCCTCCTTTATGAGTAAGTTACTAGCTCGCAGCTAATGCTTCATGAGCAAATTTATGAAGATTCTGAACTTTTATTTCTTTTGTCAAGCAGCAGATGAATGTTCTTCTGTAATCTAGAACAAGACACATGAATCCAGATTTAAACCACAATTTGTCTTTTCCTTTACTAGTTTTAAGTTTTATTCTAAGGAGGACTTGGGTTTAGTCTTAGTGAAGATTTAATGCATTTGCTGCAATGCGTACTAAAAAGAACAAATTAATATAACCATAGAACAGTCAGTTATCTTCTAAGATACTGTAAATTGGTATTCATCTTTGTCAAACATTAATTATGTGGTTTTCAAGATCACTTATATTGGAGTTTTCCATAGCTGTCATTTCCTATGCAATAATGCAGTCTTCAGCAGAAAGAAAAGAAAAAAAAAAAAGGCTCACCATTTTGCAAACCTGTCAAATATTACAGGAGGTTTTTTTTGGACTTTCTCTTTTTAAAGACGTCAGACTTCATGTACTACTACTAGCAGAGACAGCAGCAGTTTTCCCCTTCTACCTATCTTTTTCTTTCCATCTGTTTACTACCCTTTGGGAAGAAATCTATTGTCTTGAAGTGCTTCATTAACTACATGTTATGTCTCTTTAGAATAAAAACCTAAACCAAAACAGCAAACACAGCACCAAACCTCCCAAACCCCCACACCCTAAGTACCTTTCCAGGAGTGAAAAAAGACTTCATTTCCGGAGGAAGATAATTTTTGGTGTTACTGAAATTCTGTAAAGAAGGGAGAGCAGGGGGATGGAAATCACATCACTAATCAACGAACAAGATATATACATTTTGGAGGTAGGACTAAAAATATTTTCTTTACATTATTTATGCTTTTGAAAATTTAAACATGAACAATATCTCAGGCTGAGGGTGAGAAATCAGTGTATGTATATCCATATATAAATATTTATGAAAACATATACATAGATACATTTTCAACTACATTATAATAGGAAGAAGTCTGAAGTTACAAGAACTGTTAAAAATACCCTGAATTACAACCAATAAAGATTTAAACAGTCTTATCTCAAGAAAAAAATAAATGCTAAGGTATACCTTGTCAGGTTGAGTAAAATATCTGGCTGGAAGTACAGGGTCTTTAGGGGATTCCAGACTGTATGTTGTGCTCTTTGACATAATGATATTCATTGCTACATCACAGACCGTATATAGTTTCTGTAAATAAATTTTAACTAAATTATGTAAACAAAATTTTAAAAACCAAACAAGTAACACCTGAGAAGTTTAGCACAAATCTTGACAAAAGACAATTTCTTTTGAGCACAGAACTACAAGAACACACAGTTTAAAAGCAATTATCTTAAACATTTAATGTTAGCCTGCATCTTAATGTATTGCAGGGTCTTAAAAAACAGGGGCAAAAGACAAAAGCACTGTGGGCCCCAGCAGTTGAAGAGTTGAAGAGTTAGCTTTCATGATCTTTCTATACTCAACACTAGTGTATGCCATGGTTTTCAAGACAAAGCTAAAAAAAAAAATAAATTCTCATCTCTGTGAGAAAAGCAGAAAGTGACAAATCTGTACATCATGTGATGCAAAAAATTCAAAAATATAATCAGGTTTTGCTACATTCACTACACAAGACACACTGGAGATATCTAACGCACATATTTGTCTTCCTATACTAAACTTACTCTTGCACTTGTAAAACTAAACATTACAAAGCACTACAGTGGAAGTTTTAAACAGTAACAATTACAGTTTACATATATGTAAAGGCAGCGTTTAATTAACTTACTGAGACAGAAATAGAAGGACTGCAAACTATTACAACTCCCTTGCAACTGTGCAAGATCTACTGACGCATGGACAAATAACTGTCTTATAAACTACAATAAACACAACCATTTCAGAATATAAAGTATCATCTCCCACATACAATTCTACTGAAGGATATTTTAAAGTTGGTGTGTAAACAAAAAGCGACTCATTTCCAGAAGGCGGCCAGAACTAAACACACCTTCCAGTCAAAAAAATATCACCTACTTCATTCATTTTCTGATCATCTGGTCCTTGAGCATCCTTAGTTTGTTTGATATTTTCTACCATTTTTCTGATAAATGCATGACTGTTGTTTTCATTTTTAGCCATCAATATTTCCAGTATGAACCAGAGGCACCTAAAAGAGAAACACAGTACTCCTCATGAATAAAAATGCAAAAGAAATTCTTTTAAAAGCACATTTGAGCAGGTGGTTTACTATAGGCTTCACTAGTATTATTCATTTGAACCAGTCTAACTCTGGGAAACCAATTCTTTAGGAAAAAGAAAAAAAGTAGGATGAATAGAAGGTGATGGTTCCTCTGTAAGATATCACAGAGCACTAGAAGAGTATATATACTATTTCTCACGAGATTTTACAGAAATAACTGCTATCGTTATGTGCATTCGACAGTCTATCAGGGTACCATAATGTATTAAAATTTCACTTAGAACAACGTTTTAACCCCAGAAATAACACTATTAGAAGTAGTCTTACTCTTTAATGTCCTTGAGTTGTTCAATATCCTGGACTTTGACATAATCTGGGTCATGAGCTAGAAGATGGATAGTGTAAGGAACAACATACTCTGGTAGAAGTGACAACAGTTTCTCTGAAAAGCAGAAGAAAGATGCATCAAAAGACTACATACCAAGAAATATGCTTTTCTACTACAGAAGCAAGCAAAATTTAAGGTCAGCATACATTAAGATAAAGTACAGGCACATGTGGGCCTATAATTTATTTATTGCATCACATGATTGATGTGCAGAAGTTCCATGCATACAGAAGTTAAAATTTCAAGTATCTCTCACTAAGGGCTGCATATTTTCTAGCTACCCTGAGAATACAGCTCAGTCACCCCCTATTTCTAAATCTTTTCCTCAGTTCAAAGCCTGTATTCTGAAAGACTTTGAAAAACACAACTGAGAATAGGTCACAAAATCCATGTTAACTGCAAGACATCAGACTACTATTCTCTCTTTGGACAGTGCAGTGTACAGTCTTGGTGTCATCAGAACACAAAGAAATGCCCTCTGCAGTCCAATTGCCACAACGTTCTCCAACAGAAAGCAACATCCTTTGCGGGGGCTTTGCCGTTAAATTGCTACGAAGTTCTTCAGACCCAGCGCCTACCTTATATCCTTTTAAAACAGAGACAGGAGGTAACATGAAAGTTGTAAAAAAGTTGCAGTGGAGAGAGTCTGAAAGGTCCAATTCCACCTGAACAGAGCAGCACAACTCAATTATGACACTCAAAATCTTTTCTAGCATCCTCTGAATCTTCTTAGTAGTCCTAAGTAAGGACTGCAGGAGAAAGCCTTTCTTGTATCACGACAGTCACATGGACTGTATTCCTCAGGGATTCAAAAAGTCAGGATTGTTGCCAAAGGTGTTCTCGGAGTTATGATCACAAAAGAAACTCCTTAACTCCTGAGTTAAGCAACACTACGCAGAGTGAACTCTAGCACCTCAAACTTTGGTGATGACAACTGGAATAAAAAAAGGTCAGATCCCACAGGGAAAGGACAACAAAAAGAAGTGGCACACCAAAAGTCAAAAAGCATTTTGCAGAAAAGGTCCACACTGCTTTCTTTAGCCTAATGACCGAGAGGAACTGGAGGATGCAGAGCACCCCTCAGTTATTAAACCTGCACCCTGGGCAACAGGCAACACGACGGGGAAGGAAGGCGCGTTAGCATTGTGTGTGTATTACTATGGTGCAAATGTCTGATCTCGAGTGCTAGTGGCAAATGCAAATTCGCAGTATTAATGTGCCTACAGATAAACACTTGAATGCATGTGTGAAAGAAGGGGGGAAATTCCTGGCCCTGAAGGGTGAAAAAAAAAACAAAACACAAAAATAATCACATTTTTTGAATGGTCATGAAAGACAAACAAGTCTGTAAAATGTTCATTCAGTATATTAGCTTATGAATAAGTTGTCCAAACATCTGTAAATCATTATATAAAATAATATTTAAAAGCTATCTTAAAATACATTAGAACACTCACATTCTTATCCTATATATATATATATATTCTTACGAGATGTGCTGAAAAAATATAGCGCACATCAAATAAATACTATTGTAGATTTCACAAGACTAAGAAATTGCCATGCATCAGTCAAGTCAATCTATCCCGTTCTTAAAGGTCCTCATAAACAGGGATAATGCAGAGTCTATATAAAATACGTGGATTTATTCATAATAGCAAGAAAAGCACTCAAAATTAATGAAGGCCCACAGAAGATAGTGCTGCCATTTTCCAAGGATACACTTTTAGACAGCCATTGCAGCTGATGCAGTTAATTATCAAGAGTCATATCTCTACATAGACTGTAAGCCCTCACAAGATTTGAAAGAAACAATAAAAAAACCCAGCTTCCTTCCATTTCAAGCTATGTTTGTGTAATTGAAATTCACTGTACTTTGCAAAGCAGTTTTTAACGTGTTTCAACTGACATTCCTCTATTAACTTTTAAAACATCCTTCACTTCCTCAAGCACCCTCCTGCATTTTAGCCAGCAGCTGCTTGAGTAACAAAAAAAAAATAATAAAAGATGTGACAGGGAAGAAAAAGAATATTGTTATGATTTCAGAACAGCAGCAAAATTGACTTGCTGTGGAGATGTCCAAGACAAATCAACTTGCTATTATGTGTATTAATCAGCAATTTCAATAGGGAGCTCATCAAGATCATGAACTCAACGTTTCATTAACTTCCTGCCTTGTACAATTTTTAATATAACTATACTAGTAATTCCAACTGGGTCAGGAAAATAAAGTGAACTAGATCCAGACAAAACAGAAAAAAAGGACAAGTATTGATACATATAACATTTAAACCCTGTCGTGACAAAAACAAATATTATTTATGCATTTTTTTCCTCATCTTTAATGAAGAAACACACAACCCAAAAGGTGGGGTGGCTTTGCAGACATCAGCTACACAGAATCACAGAATTGTTGAGGCTGGAAAAGATCTCTGAGATCATCAAGTCCAGCCTATGTTCCAGCACCACTACACTGGCCAGACCATGGCACTAAGTGCCACATCCAGCCTCTCCCTAAACACCTCCAGGGACGGTGACTCCACCACTGCCCTGGGCAGTGCATCCCAGTGCCAGCACTTGCAAACACATGTGCCAAACCCCCTTGTGACAGGCCTTTATGAGCATTTTGGAAAGAAACTTGTTTTAAAAAATAAATTAATCAATGAATCCTTACTCTTGCAGTTTTTCCACTTACTGACTTGCAAGTAAAAGCTCAGTCTTCGAAAACAAACATTTCAATGCAAAACACAAGTCTCTACCTAGATGAAATTAGTAACAGACACACAATCAAAGTAAGTGTCCTCTTGAGTGGCTTCCACTCTCAAAAGCATTTAGAGAATTTAAGAGGCCTGAGAGCAATTTCTGCCAGCCTAAAAAGGTCAGTGCGGATGGTGCATTTTAGTGTCTAGTATCAATCCTGAGGAAGTTTTCCTTAGGTAGGGTATACAGGAGTTTACCATCTTTTCCACAAACATTGAATATCTGAAATAAATCTGAAAATATCTGAAATATCTCCTCCTCATCTACACCAAGTTTTCAAGACCAAAAGTATCCCAAATTCACAGATTCAGAAGAATAGCTGCATTAATCAAAGATGCAGATTCTCAGTTCTAGCTTTTTTGTGGAAGCTTTTCAAAGAAGGTTCTATCTTCATTACTATCCTGTGCTACTGCATGCCCAGTAGGGAGAATGACAGAGGGAGGCACATATACTTTTAAACAGTATGCCCTTATCAGAGCTGAGCTTCAGATGTACTACACTGCAATAATGATTTTTTAGAATGCAAGCAGTTCAAGATATTTTGTTTAAAAGCTCAGACTCGCAAATCTGAATGTCACAAAGTTAACACTGTAATCCTCCCAAAATCCTGTGATCTATATTTAATCCAGATTCCTCATGGACTATAGTACATATCAAATCAATGGCATCACTCAAGGTAAGTTTTTCAGCAAGGAAGTAAAGAAATAAATGAAAAACAACAGGCACACTTTGGGATCCTACTGGATAAAACCATCAGACACATATGCTTCTCTTCATTTCTTCTGCAAGTTTTTAATAGTAAATTTATAGCATCTGTCTTAATGCAGTTAGGAAATCAGCAATTACTTTTAATCCTATAAAAATTCTTATACTTTCCTCCTGCATAACTAAAAAGGTTTCAACTTTCAAGAGGAATATTCTTAGGATGACTTAAAGACATTTACTCAATAGATTTCTCTTCTGTACATGTTACTGAGGAGGGAGAAAAGCACTGCTTTTCTTTTTTTTAAGTCTAATTAAATTAGACAAAAGTATTTCTCTGCAGACTTATTCTCCGCTCAAAGTCTAAGAAGACTAAGGCACATACAGACTGACGTGACTAATACAAAGTTTGTGATTCACAAATGCAGAAGGAAATCAGTTATCTGACAGCATCTGTGAGATCAGATTCACAAAACACATCTGGTCTGTCCTAAGATGAAATAAAATCCCCCTCATTTGACAAAGACCAAACCTTCAGCAATCTTTCAAAGAATTAAAACTTTCAAAAACTCTGATTTAAAATGTCCATAACACTTTATCACAAAGGTCTACCTTTTCTTATGACCAGGTACCAGTGTTGTCATATAGTATGTGTGCAGCTTTGAGTAAGTCAAAAAGAGAAAAGGACTGACTTTGTAAAAGAAAAACAGCCAACACTAATCCATAATAGCTTACAAAGCATTCCCAAGATCAGACTACTGGCACTGGGAAGAAAGAATTAAATAAATTCATCCTGAAATGACAAGTACCACCCTTTGCCAGCATAAGATAAGAAGCTACTCAATATAGCAGCAAAAAGACAGTCAGTTCAGTACAGCATTTATGTCATTAAGGTTGCCTATTACTAATCACTGAAGTAAAATTAATAGTTGTCATTTCACAACACAATCAAACATTGAATTCAAACAGTACACAACTGCCTTGAAAAACTACTTCACTTCCAAAATACTTACCCATAAGCATTTGCACAGCTTTTTACAAAACTGAAAGGTCTCAGAAATGACTGTTAAAAACTCAAAAGAAAATCTAAACTCTCTTTTCAGTTTTCATTAAATACCTCTAAGTGAAGTTTACAGCATTCTATGTATAAAAACAAAAAATGGTCAATATTTTCACAGTCATAACATTTACATTTGAACTACAGCACTTGTACCAAAAAGTGACTTCTAATCTCTTACCGCTAACTGCCGCATGTTGCTTCAGGTATTCCCTTCTGACATTTATGTTCTTCACAAGGCACTGCCTAGCGTGAGCTCTTCTCTCCTTCACAGGATCTTTTGCACACAGTGCACAAATAGCCATATATTCTAGTGGCAGACGTAGTCTAGAAAGGCCTTTGTGAAGTTTCTGAGCAAATATTTGTCTCACTTGATAACATTCATCCTATTAAAAAAAAGTAAGAACAAAAAACGTAACAGTAAACTTTTCTAGAAGTAATACAGACGGAAATAAAACATGGAAGCCTGGGTGAATACGCCAAAATCAACTTTTGACCTTGCAGTCACAGAAACATAGGAATTTTAAGAAAGGTTTTTAACACCATTTCAGAGCGATTAAATTGAATTAATCAGTTGAAGCTTCCATTAACATCAAGACAGGAGTTCAGGTTCAGAAACTGTAGAGGAAGATACTGTACTCGGGACCCAAGGCCTCATCTAGAAAAGTAGTGAGGCACAGTTAATGAAATCACTTACAATGGGGCCAATTGCTTTGTGGAGCTAAAGGTAAAGATCTGCACTGAAAAGTGTGTAGCCATCGGTAATGACTGTTGATTTTACTACTGAGATTTCACAAATTCTCATCAAGCCACAAATATTAGAAAATGAATACAATTCAACAGAATTACTAGATAAGGTAAGGTAAAATGCTAAGGAAGTACCAAGCATTTCCATTATACTGTGGAAACCTATGAACTAGGACCCCAGAAGAGAATGACCCATGTCTAACAGTTGCCAAATAATACAGAGTATAATGATATGAAGGTGGAAAATGTACTTCTACATTTTATTAATCAATGTACTTCCATAAAAAATGGGAACTTTAAAAGTATCTGTATGAAAATAACCTCCATAAAGACACCATTCAATATACCACAACCATATACTAAGACAGGCCAAGAAAGGTTAACATAAGTAAGTATAGAAAACAGAAGAAAACGTACAGAAAAGCATAAAGCAAACAAGGCCACCAAAGAGTTTGGCATATTTAACCTGCCAAAAAAAAGGTCACGAAGACACACTTGTTATCTCTAAATAGAAAAAAAAAACCCCAACAAACATTAATAAGAATAAAAGTTTAATCAAATGACAGTTTCGAAACCAGAAAGAATTGCGATCAGCCAACAAGAAGTGCAGAGACAAAACACAGCTACTGCTAACATCAACCCTCCTGAATTCACAAATAGCATCAAAAGAGATCATGTATTAGATAAAATAAGCCTCCCTCCTCCTCCTGCCCAAAATCAAATGCAAAAGAAATTCATCAAGCCCCATTCTCTCAATTTGTGCTTCAAGACCTACTCTTGCTCTATGGACTGAAATGGCTGCTGTAGCCAGAGCTGAAGCAACCCAAGACCACAAGACCTACTCAAGGTCTGTGGCCTCTTTGTATTAAATCCAACCCACAGCAGAAGGCTGAGATGCAGCTCTCTTCTTGCCCAGTAACATCACCTACATCTAAAACCTTTGAAAAACTTAGAAGAGATGTGTGCCTGCTTGGTGTGTTGACAAGGAAGCATGTCCTCCTTGACTCAGAGGACAAGAGAAGGTACAGTTCATCACAATGGATGGTGTTGTATGGCATAAATTAGAATGACATTTGTCTTTTAATACTGAGAATCACATTAAGTACAGCTCAGCTATACTAGGTCACTGAGAAGAAGAGAGACAGGTTGCCCAGAGAGGTGGTGGAAGCCCCATCCCTGGAAGTTTTTAAGGTCAGGCTGGATGGGGCTCTGGGCAGCCTGATCTAGTGGGGGATGTCCCCTGCCCATGGCGGAGGGGGGTTGGAACTAGATGATCCATTTGCTGCGGTGACCAGCTTCAGAGCAG